CTGCTTTCCATGTTCTCTTTTGAATCCAAATTGAATTTTTAGAAGCTCCCTGTCAATGTATTACTGCAGTTGTTTATTAATTACCTTCAGCAAAATTTTACTTGCATGTGTTATTAATGATACAGTTGGATCATTTTCACATTCTGTTGGATCACCTTTCTCTGGAATGGGAAAAAGTATGAATTTCTTCCAATTGGTTGGCCAGGTAGCTGTCTTCCAAATTTCTTGGCATAGACAAAATTTTCCCTTCAGCACTGCACCAGCTTGTTGAAATATTTCAAGCTGCAGTCAAATTCCTGGGGCTTTTTCTTTCATTCTTTTGGCCAGTGTTTGAGTGTACCTTAGACTCTTTCTTCCAATAACATTGGTTCTTAATCATATGCTGTTGTTATTATTAGATGTTTCCTACTCATAGCAGCGACCCTATGTACAGCAAAATGAAACACTGCCCAGGTCTGTGCCATTCTTAGAATTGTTGTTATGTTTGAGCCTGTTTTTGGCACCACTGTGAAAAACCATATCATCTGGGGTTTTCTTCTTTTTCATTGACCCTCTACTCTTCCAACCATTATGTCCTACTCTCTGAATTCTTCCAAGATATATTCATTTTTCTCTGGAAGTCTTTGGTACTTTCAATATTCTTCTTCAACATCATAATTCAAATACATCAATTCTTTTACAATCTTTCTTATTCATTGTCCAAGTTTCACGTGCATCTAAGGTGACTAAAAAGAGCATGGCTTAGGTCAGGTTAACCAATGTTAGTCCTCAAACTGATGTCATTGCTTTCTGACACTTAAAATGAGTCTTTTGTAGCAAGTTTACCTGTTGCAATACATAATTTTATTTGACTGTTGTTTTCATGAATATTGACGGTGGATCCAAGCAAAATGAATTATTTGACAACTTAGGTATTTTCTCTGTTTATCATGATGTTATTTATACATTCTGTTTGAGAATTTTTGTTATCTTTACATTGAGATGCAATCCATGCTGAAGGCTGTATTATTTGCTTTGTGTCAGTAAGTACTGTAAGTCCTCTTTGTTTTCAACAAGCAAGGATTGTGTCATTTGTATATCACATGTTGATAATGTGTCTACAACTAATCCTGATGCCATTTTATTCTTAATATAGTCCAGCTTCTCAGATTATTTCATCAACATACAGATTGAATAAGTATGGCAAAAGGAATTGATTGTGGCACACAGATTTCCTCATTTCAAAACATTCAATATCCCTTTGTGTTTTGTTTTTTTTTAAGTCACCTTCTTTTGGTATATGTACAAGTTCCTCATAAGCCCAATTAAGTGTTTTTGTATTTCCATTTTTTGCAACTTTATGTATAGTTTGATAGTACACTACCTTTGAAATGGTTAAACTTGAATCAATTATTTCTAGTTCACTGGCTCTTTGTATTTTTCTCATCATTAGTTGATGTTTCCTGCATCATCAATATTTTGCCCCTAAAATTCTACCATATATTTAATAAATGTATATATGTAAGAAGAAATTATACAATAACCCACAGTTTGGAAGTGTTTATTTTTAAGTATCGCATATTTTCAAATTCCATCCATTATGTAGGAAAGGCCTACTAAATTATCAAGCACTCTTACTATTGAAATAGACTATGAAAAATGATGCTATCTGTTATTTGGGGGAATAATATTTTTAAAATATGAAATATTACAATTTCAAGTTTCAAATATTAAATGAATATTCTTAGATTGCACATGATCTGCAATAACTGAATTAATAATAAATTTCAACTGATGAGTAGTACTGATTTCACATAAAATTTAGTTTCTCTTTATAAATTTTGAAACAATTTGAACTATATGTCATTTAATTTAGACTATATGTCATTTAGTTTAGTAAGCTCTGCGAGCTTACTGTGAGACTGCCTTTAGTAGTGTATAAATTGTATTAACTTTCTTATAAAATAGCCTTTTATTCTTCTAAAATCCAACTAGAAATTCCTTAGCTTTAATTATTGACACTGAGGTATACCTATTAATAAACCACTTTCTTAAGATTTACTCAGATAAAACCATTTAAGACACAGACTTATCATCTATGAAGCAGTTTCAAAAGGCTTATAGAAATATGGAATTAAAAGATAATAGAATTTTCCACAAAATTTTGAGGACCCCTTTCATTAACCATGTAATTAATGACAATGTCTGACTTTCCCTGACTTCACAAGGGTAGAAGAGAATCAAACTGAAAATCAGCCAAAGAAATATTATGAAAGGAAGGTCAGACTTGCTTCTATCCTACAGCTTTCTTTATCCTATTCTGACACCAATCATTCCTCCTACAACACTCTGCTTCACATCTAGGTTTGATCATCTTTGCAAATGACCTAAGAAAACTCATAGCAATGCTCACAATTAAGGGTTTATTAGGAAATTGAACAGGGTGCAATTCAAGATTAAAACCAACTCTTGATGCCACTGTTCTTCAGTCTGCAATACCTATTGTCTGACATGCTGTAGGCACACCTCACTCTTGTCTTCAGCTTCTCAGCCTTGAAGCCCACAGGCCTCTACCTCAGTCGATAGGCCTAGATCCCACAGCTGTTCCATCTCTCCATGTCACTGCCTCTACCTTCACCTTTGCTATCACCAATTTTCTAGGTAGTCACCATGCTGCCTTGATAGTCCTGGGATCTTCCGCCTCTGCTTCTGATATGGGTCCTTTTAAAGCTAGCTGGAGAGCAAAATAAGCTAATCACAGCCTTGAAGTCTTGTATAACTTATTTACATGGTCTCACCCAATCACTTGATGAGAATTAAGAGACTTTGGATAGAAAAGCCTCATCAAGTAAATTCAAGGCACCCTACTCCTCATATCTTCCATAGTGGTTTAAAATAATTGAGAATATCTGTGCCCATTTCCTATATCTGCAAGTTCTGTATATTAGGATGATATTAATTATCCTAATATCAATTATTCTTATTAAGTAGGATAATACACATAATTATATAACTCATAAGAAAAATATGTTATTAGAAATACAAACAAGATTAATTTGTTTTCAATTACATTCAATCATACTAAAGTAATTATTATTTGATGTCTTAGTTCAGTCATATTGGAAAATAAAATAAAATATAGTACAACTGACAAAAGGTCTTCGTTCCAAGTATTAGCTAGGCATAACTCTGCTTGGGTTCAGAGGTCAGATATGATGGGGCACATTCAGCCTCCCTTGGGGCGGGTGGGCCAGCCCAAAGGCCCAGGAAAGAAGAGTCGCCACCTGAAGATGTTCCAGGGCTTCTTCCTTAGCTGTCAGGCTGACCTGCACAGAGTGGATGTAAGTCTGATGAACTTGGAAGAGTAAAGTCCTGTCCTGGTCTTTTTGGTGCTGTCAAGAATAAACAAACAACAACAACAAAATAGCTCTTATGTAGTGACCAGGGCTGTAAAGGCTTACAAAGAGCCACACAAGCCACAATTATTCATGTCTACTAAAAGCAACCTGTGATATGCAGATGATACAACCTTGCTTGCTGAGAGGGAAGAGAACTTAAAAAATTCAATGATGACAATCAAAGAAACAACCCTTGGCATGAGTTGCACCTCAATGTAAAGAAAGCAGAAATTCTCTACACTGGATAAAAATATAACGCCAAAAAAATGGAGAAGAAAAATCAATAAAAAAAAAAAAAGAAGATGTCAAAGGACAGATCTGGGCTAGGAATCAGAAGCACTGGGCAACACCCTACGTATGGAAGGCGGGATAAATTAAGCTTGCTTCCTGCCTGGGAATGCTACACAAGGGTGATTTCCTACACTTGGTGATCCTGAACATACAGTTATTGTCTTCCCTCCAGAATGAATGTGACTATATATAAGAGCAGCCACTAATGGCATAAAAACAAAGTAAGAGGATATGTGAGAGTGGCAAGGGGTAGGATAAGGAGAGGAAGGCAATTCAGTTCCTGCGAGACACATTACTTCCCTATGATTTTTACCCTTTAGGAAAGCAAAAACACTGGATTACCGACTACTGAATATGAATGTGAAAGAGGAGAAGGGTATTAAAAAAGTGTGTTTGTGTAACTCAAGATAGTCCTGGAAACATCTTTCTGGGTAACAGATATTCTTTCCACAATAGCTCCTGAGATTGATTTGGGGCTACAGACCTTAGACAATGCTGGCCAATGTCAGTTTAATGTGTAGAAATAGTATAGTAGACTGGCCAGGCACAAAACTTCAGGGGTTCCATTCATAATGAATTCTTTGTGAATACTGTCCCTGAAGTTGCTCAACTTTGTCCTGTGCAGAAGAAAATCCTGGCCTCCTAAACCCTTGAAGGTCACCAGGGTGCATTTATGGGAGACACTGTGTGGTGCCCTGATATCCTTTACTCCATATGTACCTGAAATGTGGGTGAAGGATCCAGACACATCCAGGCACAAGCAGCCTAACTTACGTACATTTGCTCTTCTTCCCTGTGAGCATGTGTTTGTCCCTGTCATCAAGTCGGGAACCTGCAGGAACGCAGTCATTTAGACTGAGAGTTGCCAAGCCATCAGGACCTTCAGCCTCTGGAGAGCCCTGTCAAGGGCCTACTTCACTATACAGTACCATTTGTCAAGTTGATTCTACAGATTACTTAAGCATACTTAAAATTATATAGAAATACACACTCTTTAAAAAGAAAAAATCTGAAAAAAAAATAGTAGAACTGTTGATTAAATAGTAATTTCTATTTAGATCATTTCCATTTCTATTTTGTACTCTTAAACAAAAACTTACTTCCCAGAAGTTATTGGAAAATGTATTTCTTATAACTTGAAAGAAAAGGTATAACCCCAAGAATAGAAAAGTTGTGATTTATAGAAAACATATTATTTGTTTGTCAAATTAGTTTTTTAAATCTTCTAAATGTAGTACTTATCTCCAGGTCTTGAATAATATCTTTATGTTGATTGTACATTCTTGAACAGATTTAAACCTATGCTTTAGAGAATGGATCAGAAACTTTTTTCTATACTTTCATAAAGAAAATTCTCTGAATGAGTCTTCTCAGGGCTGCCATCACCTCCTTGTTCCTCAGGCTGTAGATGACAGGATTGAGCATAGGGGTGATTATTGTATAGAACACAGCAAGAATCTTATCTTTAGTTGGAGATCTAAAGGATCGTGGGCATAGATAAGTGTAAGCAAAGGGTACATAATAGAAAGTCACCACAGTGAGGTGGGTGCTGCAGGTTGAATAGGCCTTCTTCTTCCCTTCTGATGAGGGCATATGGTAGACAGTTATGAGAACTCGACCATAGGAACAAGAAATACCAATGAACGGAAACACAAGGAACAAGGTGGTACTAACAAACACTGTGTATTCATAGATCCAGGTGTCCATGCAAGCTAGAGTCACCATGGCTGTGATATCACAGAAGAAGTGACTGATGGCCCTGGATTGGCAATAGGGGATATGGAGAACATATGCAGTGTGGGCACAAGCATTGATAGAACCCATTATCCATGATCCTGTAATCATCAGTACACACATACTTTTCCTCATACGAATAGGATAGTGAAGAGGAAAGCAAATGGCCACATAACGGTCATAGGCCATAGATGCCAAGAGAAGTGCTTCTGCCCCTGCCAAAGTCAAAAAGAAGAAACTCTGGATTCCACATCCAATGAAGGAGATTGACTTGTTTCCAAATAGGAAGTTGGAAGCCATCTTGGGGACAATGGTGGAGATGTAACTCAGGTCCATGAGGGAGAGCTGACTAAGTAGGACATACATAGGTGTGTGGAGATGGGTGTCCAGAAAGATGAGAAGGAACATGGACAGGTTGCCAATTAGAGCCATTAAGAAAATGAGAATGATGATAATGAAGGTGAACAGGCCCATTCTTGATGGTGAGAACAGTCCTAATAAGATGAAATCAGCTGATGTTTGGTTAAAATCTTCCATCAGTCATTCATGAGTGTTTTCTAAAAACAGACAGAATAGTATAAATAATAAACAAATAAGTTATCTTCTTTTATTCCTTAGTTTACTCCAACTGTGAATTTTTAATGGAATTTACTTCTTTTAAAGGACTAAATTAAACTCATTTTTAAAGGGCTCTCGTTTTTTGACTTTTAGATCAAACTTCTGGTGTGACACTGTAGGATCAACACTAGAGAGTTAACCACAAGGTCAGCAGTTCAAACCCACCAGCAGAAACTCAGAAACTCTATATAGCGTTACCATGGGTCAGAACTGATTTGCGACACTTAACAACGAGATCAAATGTGAGTTGACAAATATTTTTTGGACTTAACAAAAACTGCATAAAACAATAGATATATTATAAACTTACAAAGAAAAAGTATGTGTGGAAAGACTAAGAATGAGATCAGGGAAATTAAAAATTCAAGGCTTTTGTGAGAAGGAAGTTAGAAAATGGACTTGTCTCTCATGTTAAAGGTGAAAAACAAATAGCACATTGAGAATTTTTTGGTAGGTTTTGGTGGGGGAATTACCTAGAATAAATACCACAAGTGGATAATTTTGGTATGTTATGGGGTCTTGGTATGTTGTTATAGAATAAGCACTGGACTTCTAATAGCCAGGTGGGCAATTCAAACCTACCAGCTACTCCAAAATCCTATACAAGGTTGCTATAAGTTAGAACTGACTCAGTGGGATTTAACACCAACAACATGTCCAAAAAGAGTTGTAGTGTTTTGGTGAAAATTTCAAATATCTTTTGAAAAGTATTTTCTTGAAGTCTCAGTGTCAGCTACAAAGAGGAGATTCTAAAAATTTCCTGACAGAAATCTTACCGCAATTGCTACTAACAAGAACTATACATAGAATTGGCAATTAAAATACCATTAGGTTTTGCAGTAATGTTATTTTTTTAGATATTAGAAACAAATTCTGGATGCTGAAAAAATGCTGTCAACGTCCCCTCCCGAGACACAAAGAGAGATGTAGCTATGTTGAAAGAATGGAGGAACGAAAAGCGGTGTGGATGATTGATATGGTTGGGTACCTCTTCAATCACAATGGCAATAAACTCAAATTTTAGAAGATAAATACAATTCTTGAAAATATTGTAGTAAATATAGAAGAGAGAGAATAAAATAATTTGACATTATTGCTTCTAGAGCTGAGGATGAGTGGGTATTTGTTTACCTTAATCAGCTATTGACATGGTATTCAATTATTCCTTGAATAAAACACAGTAATTTAATAATTATGTCACTGCTAGTAATGTTAATAAACTTTGTTTATTGTATATTTAAATCTCCAAAGTAAATTGTTAAGATTGCTAACAGCAGTGTTTTGATTCTGGGTGAAGAATATTAAAATATAAATTCGTTTGATAATTGCATAACCTCTGAAAGAGAAATTGAGAAAACATAGTTTTATAAGTATCACTGAAATTCAACATGAGCCTTGTGTGTTAAATTATCACAGTATATAATTTTACTGGTACCTTAAATTGTTGACAAAATTTTTTAAATGCAGTATTTGAAATTATTATTGCAATGACCCCTATCATTTGTATTTTGTATAGTGCTGTCTATAAAATGTTTCCATGAGTCAGTTACTATTACACTTGTTTAAAGATTAAGAAAATGAAGCACAGTACAGAAATCATGAATGGCAGATCAGACTTATTACATGGCCACATATTTTATGACTGACTTCCAAAAGAATATTTTTTGATTACTGATATCCCCATGTTGTTATGTGATACTATCCTGTCCTTTGATATCATTAAAATGAACTTATGCCTAACAGGGAAAAAGAAGGTTTTTTTTTTTTTTTCTTATTAAAAAAATCCAAATATTGTAAGTTACTGATGTCCTTTTTACAAGACTTTTTGCCACTAAAATAATTATATATGACATAAATATTGTTCACGTACCTATCTTTATAGTTTAAAATCTCCTAAAACCTTGTTGGAGTCTTGGTTTGCTGCTGAAGGATAAGCACCAGACCGCAAGGTCAGTGTGAACTCCAAGGTCAGCAGCTTAAACTTACCAGCCATTACTCAGAAACGCTATATAGGGTCACTATAATGCAGAAACAACTCAATGGCACTTAACAACAACAACAGCAAAACCTCGTGATTTCAGCATAAGCATTAATAACTGTACTTGTATTTAGAAGGAAAGAGTAAGAGAAACCATTCTGATGCTGGTTTCATTAATAAGACAAAACAATCCTTAAACATAGAAGGAGGATATAGATATAAACTTATTAACAATCTCCAGAAATGACCTTCCTCACCAGAAAGACTAGGAAACCAGAAAAATAAAATGATTTTGTGTTGACTCCAAAAAGTCAATTTTAGTTCTATACAAATAACATAACTAATTCTACATGTCTATAGGTAGCAACCAGCCCCTTCACACTTATTTTTGTTTCCAAAACACAAAAACCATAACTTGTGTTTCAATTTTCATACTGTTGTAACTTGTATGTTATGATTCTGGAAGCTATGCTCTGGGTATTTTAAACACCAGCAGGATAACCCATAGTGGAAAGGTTTTAACTGAGCTGGTAGATGAAGACTAGGAAGAAAGAGAAATGGACTACTTACAAATATTTACTCACTGAATATCTTGTGAATAGCAGTAGAACACTGTCAGCATCAGATTCCTGAGTATTGAAACATAATGACGAACACCAGAATATTGTCAGATAGTGGAAGGCACTCAAAATAAAACTGGGGAATAGAAGAACTGCCTCCTTAAAGTAGAGTTGACAGTAATGATGCTAATGGAGTAAAGCCCTGGGGACCTTCATTTGCTGATGAGGCACAACTCAAAATGAAGAGAAACAGCTGTAAAAACCCATTAATTATCTGACCATGGAGTGCATAAAATATGAATCTAGGACAATTGGAAAATGTAAAAAGTCAAATGGAACACTGTCGTAGTTGTGATGTGCTGTGGAATTGGTTCCAACTCATAGTGACCCTGTACAGGGTTCCCAAGGCTGTAAATCTTTATGGGAGTAGAAAGCCTCATCTTTCTCCCATGCAACAGCTGGTAGTTTAAAACTGTTGATCTTAAGGTTCACAGCCTGATTCATAACCACTACACTACCAGAGCTCCTTAAATGGATCATATAAACATAGATATCCTAGGCATTAGTGAGCTGAAATTGACTGGCTTTGGCCTTTTGGAACCTGACAACACATGGTTTGCTATCTCAGGAATGACAAATTGAAGAGGAATGGCATCAAATTTGTCATCAAAAAGAAAATATCAAGATCCGTCACGAAGTACAACACTGTGTGTGATAGGATAATACCCATATATCTACAAAGAAGACCAGTTAATACCACTTACTCAAATTTACAAAAGAACCACTAATGCTAGTGATAATGAAATTGAAGAACTCTACCAACTTCTTCAGCCTGAAATTGATCAAATATGCAATCAAGATGTATTGATAAATATTAGTGATTAGAATGCAAAGGTTGAAAACAAAGAGGAATGATTAGTAGTTGGAAAATATAGCCTTGGTGATATAATGCTAGAGATCTCGATAGAATTTTCTAAGTTCAGTGGCATTTTCACTGCAAATACCTTATTTATTTATTTATTTATTTATTTTACTATGACCAACTGGAATTTATTACAGGAATTCAAAGTTGCTCTAACATCTAAATTAAATGAACAAAATATATGGCATATTAATAGAACAAAGCACAAAAAACACATGATTATCTCAAGACACAGAAAAACGGTTGACAAAATGTAACACCTCTTCATAATAAAAATACTCAACAAGCTAGCAATAGGAGGGAACCCCTCAACCTGATAAATTCCATCTACAAGAAACCCACAAATAACATCATACTTCATGGTGAAAGACTTAATGCTTTGCCCTCAAGATCTGGAACAACACATGGATGTTATAGAGATGGACCCTGTGTATTACCTTTAAAGTCCCCTCATGTTGTTTACATCTTCACAGCAGGCTAGAACAGCTAGTCCAAAGACGTCCAGGGCTTAATTCAATTCCTTATACATCCAATTGCTTTAACTATAGCCCAAATAAGCATGCTGTTAGCCATTTAGGGTCTGACTGTTTTGCATACACTGTGAAACTACACCCAGAATCTGCTAACCATTGATAAGACAAACCCTGTAGTTATAAGAGACCCCAAAACACTGTTGCCCTTTGTAGAACTCTGACTCAGCCTAGCACTTTGAGGCTAGCGGAGCAGCATCACATAGATACATAATTTTCCTCACCAATTCCCCTTTTCATATGGGATTTGCCTTGTCCTCTACCCACACCCTTGTCTCTGGAAGGTCTCCTGCAACACTGAGTGCTGCCCAATAAGAAGTTGTTGTTCAATCCTACCATCTTGTGGTCCTGTCTTTCCCTTGATAAGTCCCCCAATCTGATCAGTCCCCAAATTTTTTAACTCATCACAGATGTCTACTCACATAATTTTTATTTTACATTGTACTAGACGTACTAGGTAGGGGAATTAGGCAAGAAAAAGAAATAAAAGTCATCAAGACTAGAAATGAAGAAGTCAAACTCTCTCTTCATAGATGCTATGATGTTGTATGCAAAGAAATCCCCACATACACCCCCCCAAAATACTAGAAATAATAAACAAGTTTAGTAAAATTAAAGATATAGTATCAATACACAGAAATCAAATTTATATACATCCAACAAATAATCCAAAAGCGTAATAAATAAAAAAAAAACATATTTTAATGTTGCTGCTGTGTGCCATCAAGTTCATTTTAACTTATGACGATCCTGTATAGGGTTTCTGAGGATGTAAATCTTTATGGGAGCAGAAAGTCTCACAATTCACTCAGGGAACAGCTGGTGACTTTTAACTCCCAACCTTGGTTAGCAGTTCACAAAGCTACCAGGGCTCCTTATATTCATAATAAAATCAAAATATTTAAATATTTGGGAATAAACTTAAGAAA